GGCCCCGCGCTGCGGGCCGGGCCGCGCTCGGGCTCCGCCAGGCCCGCTCAGGCCCCGGTAGTGGCGGCGGTCGGGCCATTGTGCGGTGCATTCTGGGAGCCGCACGAGCGGGCGTTCTGCCCGTGGAGGGGGCGGTGCCGCGGGCTCTCTATGGTCCCGCCTGCCCGCCGGCTAGAGCGGCCGGAGCGGCGCGCGGGCGGCGCGCGGGGGCTGACGGGAGCGGGGCGGACGCTCGCGCCCTTCCTTCCCTCCCCGCCTCCGAGCCGCGGAGCGCCCTGGCTCTGGGGCCGATATGGGAGCCGCCGCGTGGGCATCGTCGCCCCTGCCGCCGCGTGTGTCTCTCCTGCTGCTGCTTCTGCCGTTCCCGGGGCTGCCCGTGGGCTCCTGGGACCCGGCGGGTTACCTGCTCTACTGCCCGTGCATGGGTAAGGAAGGCCTCCTGAGCCTTCTGTCCAAATGGGGAAACTGAGGCCCAGAGAGGAGAAGCAATTTCTCTGAGGCGCCCAGAGACGCCTTGACAGGTCCAGGAAAGGACCCCAGCGCGGGGCAGGGCCTGTTCCTCGCCTTTCTGCCCCAGTTGCAAGGGCACCGAGGGGACCTCTGTGTCCAACCTTCCGTTTGGCAGATGAGAAAACTGAGGCCGGGAGAGGTTACGATGTGTCTTGCGCAAGGCCTAAGCCAGCCCTGAGTCCAGTAAATGGAGTTAGTGGGGCAGGACTTGATGTCACTGACCCAACGCTGGCTCTGGGCGATTCTTTCATTCATTCAACACATATTTATAGGGCACCTACTGTGTGCCCAGCCCTGTTCTCTGCTCCAGGGATACGGTGGTGATAAGACAGAAAGCTCCAGGCCCTTGTAGAGCCTTCATTTTAGTTGGGAAAGACAGACCATAAAAGATAAATATAAAAAATAAGTAACTGCATAGTATTTATGGATGAGTGCTATGGGAAAATAAAATAGAGCAGGGTAAGGGAGAATCTAAAAGCTGGCTTAGGAGTGTAATTTAAATGGGAGTGGTGGATCGTCACTGTTAAAGTTATTTCTTCTTAAAATCTTTCACACTCCTAACCATGATGATGTTGCCCTCTGCGCATCATCTCCACCACACCCTTCTCCCCAGACCCTCCAGCTGCAGGCACAGTTATCCTTTTCTGTCCCTTACACATACTCAGGTCCTGCAGCCTGTGCTAGTCCCTCTGCCGGGGAACACCCTCCCCTTGCCTTGTGCCAGACCAACTCCTTCCCATCGTCAGGCCACAGCTTAATTGTCACCAGAAAAGACTTCACTGACCTCAACCCAAATAATCTCCTCCTCATTGTTCTCCATCACCAAACTTTTTTCACTTCTTTTTTGAACTTATCAAAATTTATCACTGTATATTTGTTTATATGTTTACCATCCCCCTACCTGGACTGTGAATGCCTTGAAGGCAGAGACCTTGTCCTTCTTGCTCACTCCTGTGTCCCAGCACCTAGCAGAGAGCCTGACACATTGTGGCCTCTCAACAATCTTTGTGGAATGAATGAATGGATGCCATGCTGGGGATAACAGAGTCAGACAGGGACCTTGCACCTGAGGCATTCACAGGCTGAGGAAACAGCCAAAGGCCGGGAAATGGGAAAGGACATTCTAGGAAGAGTGAAGAACCACAAGTAACTCATATCCAAGGTGGGAGGCAGAGGAGGGGAACTGAATATGGCAGAGAGGTAGTGAAAGGATCCCAGTGAGTGAGGCATTGGAGTTACCCCTTCACATGCAGATGGGAGGAAATAGAAGGTCACTCCTGGCTGATGGAACAGCAAGAGCAAAGGCATGGGGTGGGGATGGGAAGTGTAGAGCATGTTTGGGAAACAGCAAAGAACCTGGAGTGGCTGAGGCAGAAGAGGCAGGGCCTGAAGGGCCTTGACTGTCAGACCCAGGAGTCCAGACTTGATCCCATGCTGCCAGCTCCCCTGGCTCTCCTTGGTGTCCTGGCCCTCCACACTCCTGGCTCTGCATCCTTTCAGAGCCTTGCATGCCCCAAGCCCTCGACGCCGTAGTCCTCACTTCACCTGCAATATACCATCCAGGGCGCTTTGGGAACCAGGCTGATCATTTCTTGGGCTCCCTGGCATTTGCAAAGCTGTTGAACCGCACCCTAGCTGTACCTCCTTGGATTGAGTACCAGCATCACAAACCTCCTTTCACCAATGTGAGTACCTCCTGCTGTTGACCCTTGTCCACCTTTCCCTAATCCTGCTCACCTCTGCTTGACCCCAAGTCTTTCTGTAGGCTTTACCTCCCACCCCTCTGAGTTTGCCCTACCCCCCTCACCCCCCCGCCAGAACTGTCTTCCCTGGCTAACTGGCTAACATTTATCCAGCACCGTTGTCTGCCAGGCACTGTTTCTGAGCACTGCATCAGGATTAGCTCTTTTCCTTCTCATCACATCCCTATGAGGAAATGGGTTTAGAGAGGTTAGGTAACTTACCCACACTCACACAGCTTGTGAGTAGTAGACTGGAATTCAAGCCCATGTCTCTCTGACTCCAGAGCCTGTGACCTGAACCTCCAGACTCCATTTCCAGCCTTGTTTGGTCCCACCCATTGGTCAGAGGTGATGGTTGCTATTATCAGTTCTGAAGGAGAAACAGAGGCACAAGTTGGTTAATAACATGTCCAGGGCCACAAACCGGAGCAGTCTGGCTCCAGCACTGCCTCTCACCTCATCAAGGGGTCCCTTAGCATGGGAAGCCCAGCATCATGTAATTTCTTGCATGTTCTTTATGTCTTCCACCAGTCCTGTGTCTGTCATTGTTCACAGTGTAACTCCAGGGGCCTGGCAGTAGGAACTGAATTAATATTTAGTGAATTGACTTTGAAAGTTTTTAATAAACTTCAAAAAATTATGTTTAGTATGTACAAAACACTGTACTTTATTCTTACAGCCTAAAACGTAAGTTTTATTTTTTCCTGCACATGCCTGTATTTAGAAAGTTTAAAAGCCAGAGTTACCTGAGATCATAGCTTGGCTTGACCACTTCCTAGCCGTATAGCCTGGGCAGGGTACTTGACCTCTTTGTGCCTCAGTTTCCTCATCTTTAAAATAGGCTGGTAATAGTTGTTGCTACCTCCCTCAGTGAGTTAGTGATTGTGGAATGCCTCCCTCTTAGAATCAGCTGAAGCCATCAGTTGAAAGTGCTTAGGATGCAGGGAGTCCTTAGTAACTGGGAGCTGTTGATGCTCTGACTTTTTGTACTCACTGTTAATAGTTTAGACCTGGCCCGTTGGTCTCCCTCTGGTTTGCTTGCCTTCTCTCACCTTGCCTTCTCAGCTAGGAGTCTTTCAGAGTCTCCACTTCTTGCTTTCTACGGGTTACTCAACCTACCCCAGTTGGGCTCCCCTTCCCCACTGAGACTGTTCTCACAGAGGCCACTAAGGACCTCAGAATTGCCAAATCCAGGAGTCATTTCTCAGTCTTTATCTCAACTGACCTCCCAGTGGCACCTGGCCCCATGTGCCTCTCTCCTTCTTGAACTTCCTCCTCCCCTGGCTTCCAGGACACAGCCTGTTCCTGCTTCAGCCCAACCTATCCACATTTTCCTCTTTGTGCTGCATCAGGGGCTCCTCTCTCCCCACCCACTGTTTAAATGTTGGTGCGTCTCCTCTTTCTGTTTGCTTATTAGCTCTGTGACTTCAGATGAGTTACCTAGATTCTGTCCACGTGGGTTTCTTCATAAATAAACTAGAGATGGTTGTATTCCTACCTCTTACAATTAGATGAATAAGTCCATGAAGCATGATGAGTACAGCACCTGGCGCTAACCCAGCACTCAGTAAATATTAGTTGCTTTTATTACCATTATTTGCTTTGCTATAAGTTTCTGTTGACTCTTGGGCTTTCACTTTTCTCCATGTACCTCCCAAATTTACCTATGGCCCAGACTCTCCTCTGACCACAGGCCTCGTGTTTCTAACTCCTACGGCTTTGGGTCTACTTGGATGACCCACAGATAATCTGAAGTTCACAAAGCCAGAACTTTCCCCTCAAACCTGTGTAACCACCTATATTTCCAGCCTTAGTTTATGTCACCTCCATTCACCTGGGCCAGGAACCTAGAAGTCATCCTAAATGCTTCCCTTTACTCTGTACTTCAGCTCCCTTTACATTTTTTAACCTGTCCATGCTTCCCCATCTCTCGGACTTTTGGAGATGCTCAAAAAAACATGTTGAAACAAAACAAAGCATACAAAACAAAACAAAAATACATGTTGAATGAATACTTGAACAAGTAAAAGGACTATTGCAGTAGCCTCCTAATTCCTCTCCTTCCTCTTATCTTACCATCAGTACATTCTTTCTTCTGCCGCCAGAGTGATCTTTCAAGAAAGCAGATCTCATATTATTTCTGCTTAAAATCCTTCAGCAAGACCTTGTTGCTAATAATTAAGGTTCTCGAAGTCTGTTCATTGGAACATCAATGGCTCGTGCAGGAATGGTGCAGTGGTTAAGTCAGTTTGGGAAATTGTGTTCTCAATTCCTCATTCTCCCCAAATTTGGAGATTCAAAATGCATGTTAGCATATTAAAGGCCCCAAGAAGTTCTGTCATAAAGAAACCTGCTTAGCATAGCATTTCCCAGGCCTGTTTATTTCTGGAGCCTTTTTATTGCAGAACCCTTTACCCACCTGAACTAGTGGAACATGCTTGGGAACTCTGACCTATAGGATAAAGTCTAAATTTTATTTCATGGTGTTCTAAGAAATTTTCTTAAGTCTAGAAAAATACAGAGATTACTGTAATCACCGTCCATGTATCTACCACTAGAAATGATAATCATTAACATTTTCTCATCTTTGCTTCATGTTTTCTTTTTGTTAATAAAAGAAATCAAAGTTTATAGATAAAGTCGTTAAAAGATTGTGTCTTGGCTCTAGGCTACTTCTAGTCCCTCCCCCACCCCCAGAGGCAACCGCCATCGTGGATTTAGTGTCTTCTGGTGTGACTCCTTCCAAGTTTTTTCCTGTACTACTCTTCCACTGTGGCACTGAGCATCCTTTTATCTATCTCTTGGTACAAAGGGCAGGATTCTCCAAGGCAAATACCTAGAGGTAGAGGGCACCTTTAAAATTCTATGAGATGCTTGTAAGGGGCCACACTCCAAAGCAGTTGTTCCAAAACTTATACTTCTACTATCAGCCGTATGTTTTCCAGTAATTAGAGTTAAGCTTTTACTTTTTTGCTGGTCTCATGGTTAAGAAGTGGTGTCTTGTTGTAACTGTCATTTTCTTTTTCCTAATTCTTGTGAGCTTGCACATCTTTTGAGTGCGTTGGCTGTTTGGGGTCCCTTTGCTGTGAGTTGCTCACTCCCATCCTTTGCCCATGTTTTCTCCTGCACCATTTGTCTTTTTTCTTATAAATCAGCAGGCATTTTTGAATATGAGGGTATATTACTGTTTGTTCTTTAGTGTGCAGATGTCTTCTCCCAGCCTCCGTTCTAACTGTGGTATCTTTTATCAAAAGTTGTTCACTGGCATGTAGTCCAAGCTGTCTGGGTCTTAGAGTATATGGTTTTAATGAATGTCTTTGAAGCAGCCACTAGGATACTGAGGAGGGGCCCTCGCCCCCTCCTTTTCTCCACTTTTCCTGTAGCTCCATGTGTCCTACCAGAAGTACTTCAAGCTGGAGCCCCTCCAGGCCTACCATCGGGTCATCAGCCTGGAGGACTTCATGGAGAAGCTGTCACCTACTCACTGGCCCCCTGAGAAGCGGGTGGCATACTGCTTTGAGGTGGCAGCCCAGCGAAGCCCTGATAAGAAGACATGCCCCATGAAGGTGGGTCCTGTGGGTCTGGGGGACCCTTCCTGCCTGTTCCAGGTCCTCTAGGCCCCTGAGACACTGTGCTATAGCAGTGTGTGGGAGAAGGCACCAGAAGGGCCTAGAATAGAAAGATGGAGATTTAAGTCCCATTTCTGGCATTTGTCAGCAGTGTCACTTTGGGCAGAGGTCTTTGTTTCCTCTGAGCCTTTATTTCTACCTACAAAGTAAAGACACCAGTCCCTGCTGTGTCTTGCTCATAAAGTATCAGTGAGGGCCAGGTGTAAGAGTGCTTGTAAACTGTAAAGTGCCACATCAGTAATAATCACTGATACTCACATAGCACTTACTACACACCAGGTACCATGTTAAGAGCTTTCCATATATTATCCCACTTAATCCTTAAACTGTTCCATGAGGAAAGTACTATTAATACCCCATTTTATAGAGAGGACACTGAATGCAACAAAGAGGGGTTTAATATTTTGCCCAAAATCATAATAGCAAATAAGTTGTGGTAATATGGCCCCATTGTCCACCCTCCTAACTTGTATACTTTCTTGCCTCTCAGCACATAAATGAAAAGCTGTTATATTTATCAGTAGAAGTTTGTAAATTTCTGGCACTTTGGGAATAAGACAATCCCCAACATGTGTTTCAGTGCTTATGCTACAGTCTGAGGAGGGTGGTTGGAGGAGCTGTGAAATTTGAGAAGGGGGACCTGGCTTACAGCCCCAACATTGCCCTCACTTGCTCTGTGAGCTTGAGCAAGTGTCTTGTCTGGGTCCTGGTTTCCATCTTGAAAATAAGGGCATTGGATTAGCCGGGTCTTGAAGGTCTCTGGGAGCTCGTCCTGAATCCAAGGTTGACTTGCTCCCCCGACCCCCACCAGTGCTGCAGGGTCAGCGACATATGGCACACGAGCAGGAAAGACTCCTTCAGATATTGTGGTGAACGTTGCCTGCTGAAAACCAGACTGGAGGCCGAGCTGCCCTCCTCAGCACCCAGCCCAGAAATTACGACGTGATATTCCTACTGGCCCATCCTGTGAGAGTATTTCAGCCTGAGTCAAATCACCCAGGGTTCCCCCATCCACAGTCCCTTGGCCTCATCGCCAACTGGCCTTCCCTCCTGCTCAGTAAGCCTTTTCCCACTCTCTTTCTCTAGGAAGGAAACCCCTTTGGCCCATTTTGGGATCAGTTTCATGTGAGTTTCAACAGGTCTGAGCTTTTTGCAGGCATTTCCTTCAGCGCCTCCTACAAAGACCAGTGGATCCAGAGGTATGTGGAGGGGGCAGCATTGCTGGGATTAGGGGAGAGGTGGGGGGCCCACGGGCATTCAGCACCTTCCTGGCCCTCTTCCCCTCTACCACACCCTGATGTATGAGACCAAAGGTGCGGCTGTTCTGTCTGTTGAACTTGGGATCCTATGTGATCTGTTCCCATCTCAACGCCTGACACGGTGGGACATTGACCTGCCCCAAGGTTGAGCAAGAGTTTATCCGCCAATAAAGGATGTCATAAAAAGAATATTGTGCAGTCACATGAGTCTCGATTTCCTCCTCTAGGCGTGAGAATCACTCCCCTCTTACCTTCCTCTTCACAAAGTGAAAATTGGAAGCTGCTTCTAGAGAAAAACAGCTTCAGGTGCAGACGGAGAAATGATGTCATCCTGATAATAATTGGATGTTCTTTATTAATTGTGCTCCAGTAAGCCCTATTAAAGAACAAAAACTAGGTTAGCAGGGCATAGGCACAGGCTGTGAAATATTTATAGAGCATCTGTCACGTATGAGACATAGTGCTCAAAGGCCAGAGGTGATGCATAAAAATGAGGAAGACCCAGTCTCAGGCTTCAGCTGGCTACAGTCTAGATACAATGATGACACTAACATAGTACATTTGCCCCTGATGCTATAGTGTGGCAAGAAAGAGCGTGGGCTTAGATGTCAGACCTGGGTTAGAAACCATGAGGGGCTTGTGAATTCTTGTGAGGTCCCAGCACTTGGCATTTAGTTAGCCAAAGATAGACTGATGCAGAGGAACGAGCACAGGCTCAGGATAAGACAGCCCTGAGCTCTGACCCAGCCCTACCTCTTTCTCAGATGACCCTGAGCTGTCTGGCCTGAGTTTCCTCCTTGGTTTAATGGAAGGAGCACTGTGGTATCTGCCTCCAAGTGTATAAATCACATGGCACATAGTAGAGGGCCAGTCACTGTTACCTGTTACTATTATTCACATGCTTTATTTTATTTAAGTCTTTGAGAAATTTCATGAAATGGGTATTATGATCAATTTCCATTTGACAGGTGAAGAAACTGAGCTCAGTAAGGCTAAATAACTTGCCCAAGGTAATGCAGCTGTTGACTGGGCAGCAGGGGTCTGTGTGTAAGGCTTTCATAGGTAATAAGAACTAATATTTATTTAGTGCTTACTTGTGCCAGTTGCTGTTCTAAATCTTCACTACCTAAGTCTTCTAAGGTAATAGCTCATTTAATGCTTCCATGAGTCTGGGGGACAAGTGTTACTGTCATCTCTGCTTTACAGGTAAGGAAATTGAGACAGAGAGAAGTGAAGTCACTTCCCTAAGGTCATGCAGCTTGAAGTGGCAGAGCTGGGATTTGAATCCAGGCAGCCTGATTCCAGAGCACCCATTCTTCATCAATGTGGAGAAAAGAGCTGTGCCTTTAATAGCTGCCAATTCCTATTTGGGACTTGCCTTCAGAGCTAGTTCATGAGCTGCTGAGGATACTCAGTCCTGGCAGAGTCTAATCCCCCTCATTGTTGATCCCGGATAGGGAATTGTTGATTCCCATTTGATCACCTGCTTGGTTCTCCCCATTCAACTCTGAATGACCCAGAGCTATTGCCAGACAGGCAGACCTGTCCTCAAAGGATGGAGATTTGCCTCTAAAATGCCAGGGGGAAAAAAAAAACATGACACCAGCTCTAAAAGCAGCTCTAAGAGCAAATTCCAAAAAGCACACAGTCCTGGTTGGAAGAGAAGGGACAGGGCTGCATGGATGCATCAGTCAGACAATGTTGCTGAAACACTTGTTCATGGCTGCATGGTCTTGCTTCAGTTCGCTGAGTTGTAGGAATTGTGTAAGGGCTTGGGGAAGCTTGTGCCTTACAACCAAATTTTTGGGAAAGGAAGACTAGTGGGGAAGATGAGGTCCCTGGAGGCAGTTGGAGAGAGCTAGGACCACCTGGGCAGCTGCCTTCCTTCCACACACATGTAAGAAGCACTGCCTGAGTGTCAAGCACTGGTGTGGATTCTGGGGAGACAGGCAAGAATAAAGCAGATAAGGCCCCTGCCCTGATGGAGCTGAGTCTAACAGGGGAGACTGAATACATTTTTATGTAAGATAGTCCCAGAAGACATAGTGCTGTGAGGGACATAAGCAGGTGATGTGTGATTGGCAGGCAAAGACCTTGTCTTTGTCAGCTTGGACTGCTATAGCAAAATACCACAGACTAGGGGGCTTAAACAACAGACATTTATTTCTCATGCTTTGGAGGCTGGGATGTCCGACATCACGGTGCCAGCGTGGTCAGGTTCTAGTAAGGATTCCTTGGCTTTCAGTTGCTGCCTCTTACTGTATCCTGACATGTTGGAGAGAGAGCAAGGTCTCAGGTCTCTTATAAGGGCACTAATCTCATCACAAGGGCTCTACCCTCATGACTGTCTAAATGTAACTGCCCCCAAAAGGCCCGCTTCCTAATACTATCACATTGGGAGTTGGGGCTTCAACATGAATTGGTGACGGGGCGGTGGGGGGGTGCGGCACAAACATTTAGTCCATAACAGATCTGAAGGATGAGGAGCCAGCCATGCCAAGAGCTAGAGGGAAAGGTAGTTCTTCATGGTGGGAACATTGCAAGCTCTGAGGCAGGACAAGCTTGGTGTGGTCAAGGGGCAGAAAGGCCAGAGTGGCTGGTGTGGAGCATTTCAGGAGGAGAAGGGTAGGGTGTTCCCATCGTCCGTCACAGTGTAATAAACCACTCTAACACTCAGTAGCTCAACAACAATTGAGAATGATTGCTCAGAGTTCTGTGGGTCGACTGGGCTTAGCGGGTCAGGTCTTCGGTTTGGTTTTTGTTTTTCCATTTTCTTTATGGAATCCCAACTGTACAAAGTTCCAATCCATGTTAAACATCTAATTTCTTAAGATGAATACTCTTTGGAATACCCACCACATTTGGTGGTTTTTTTTTTTTAATAAGAAAATTAAACTTACTCATACTCCCATCACCCCTCCAAAAAACCATTAGAATTTTGATATGTATACTTCCACCCTCCAAAATGGGTGTATTTTTATGTACATATACAATGTATACCTATACATATTAACTTAAAAAGAAATTATTACATATAGTTTGTAATTGAGTAATTAACTATCTTTTCTGAGGAGTAATTGATATTTATCAGGTTAGTAAATAAATATCATTGGCAAGATCAGTTCTAAATATGTAAAAACATGAGATTTCAAAAAATGGTTAACTGGTGTGTATATGTGTATTCCACTCCATGCCAATGGAGTGTGTTGGGTAGGGTATGTGTGTGGGATGTCCATTCATCTGTTGATGGACACTTGGGTTAGCTGGGCACTTCTTGCTTGTGGTCTCACGTGGCTACAGTCAGCTGTCGGCTGGGACTGGAGTCATCTGAAGGCTCAACTGGGCCGCATGTCCAAGAGGGCTCACTCGTGGCTGGCAGGTGGTGCTGGCTGTCATCTGGGAGCTCACCTGGGGCAGTCGGCTGGCATGTATACTCTTGACCTCTCCATGTGGCTTGGACTTCGGACAATGTGGCAGCTGGATTCTGAGAGGGTGCATCCAAGGAGTGCGTGCTCCAAGAGACAGAAGGTGGAAGCTGCTGGCCCCCTAAAGCTTGGGCCTGGCATCCGGGACACTGTTACCTCTGCCAAATGCTATTGGGAGGGGACATAGAGCCCACCCAATGGGAGGAGACTTGAATTAACCTGCCATATAGAACAGGAGATTGGAGAAGTGGGCAGGGGTCAGACTGTGTAGGGCTTTGTAGGCCCTGATGAAGCAGTCTGATAAGAATCCTGTGAGTGTTTGCAGGGGTGAGTTTTGAGAGTTTAAGTATTTTAAACATTTTCTTAAATAGTGGACACTTTCTTGCTGTAGAAAATTGTCCTTTGGGGGCAGGGGCATGGGTGTAGGGAGAATGGCATTAGAAAGGGTCAGCCGCTTCCCTGGCTCACTGTGTAACTGCAGATTGCTTCCCTTCTCTGGCCATAGTGCTCTATCTATAAAATGAAGGGATTGAGCAAGATCGGTCACTTTCAAACTGTTCTTTGAGTTTTAGAGTTCTGGAGAAGCACTGTGTGCTGTGGGGGCAGCAACGGGGGCCAAGTTGGAACTGCTCGGTACCCCTCTCCCACTGCCTTCAACCAGTAACCCTCTTGTATATCAGCTAGAAGTGCTGGTGGCTACAGGTCCGGGTGCACCAGGTTTAACTTAGCTACATGTAACAGAAAACCCCAAATAACAGCAGACTAGCAAGATAAAAATTCATTGTTTTCTTAAGTAAAAGGACTGGGCTGTGCAACCCAGGGCTGCATGGCAGCTCCCTTGTGTCTAGGAATTAGGCTCCCATCTCTGCTCAGCCATCCCAGTACTGGCTTTTTTTTTTTTTGGCTACACTGCACGGCATGCGGGATCTTAGTTCCCCAGCCAGGGATCGAACCCCTGCCCCCTGCAGTGGTAGCGTGGAATCCTAACCACTGGACCACCAAGGAATTCCCCCAGTATTGGCTTTTATCCTTAGTGTCACCTCATGGGCCAAGATGACTCATGAAGCCCCAGGCAGCTGGAAGGACAAAAGGGGCAGAGGAAGTGCACAGCCTCAGCTTTTTAAGGAGTCTCTTCCTTATAGCTTGCTTACACCAGCTCACTGGCCAGTACTTAGACATGTGGCCATACGTAGCTACAAGGAGTACTGAGAAATGTCTTTTTTGGGGCTTCTGTGTGTCCAGCTTAAAACTGGCTTCTAGGAAAAGAGGATAAGAGTTATTTCTCCCCACTAAGTGATTTCCCGCTGAGGATCTTTCCAGCTCTGCTGGTTCTGAGTCTGTGAATACCCTGATGGAGATTTAATTGAACATTTATTATTTATTGCACATATACTGTTGGAAGGCTATGAACCATTCTCTTGGTATGAAGGCAACAGGTGTTTGAGCACGTGGCTTATCGTTCTCCCAGGCTGCAGCCTCCTTGGGAGGACGTAAACAGGTGACATGTAATTGGCAGGGCGGAGACCTGAAGGATGAGAAGAAGCCAGGCATGCAAAGAGCTGCAGGGAAAGGTAGTTCTTCATGTCAGGGACATTGAGAACTAGACTCTGCCTCTTTCATGTCCCTGCATCCTCTGCACTCAGCATAGTATCCATCCACTGGTGTATCCTGGGCTCACATGTGGGTACTGTGCATGGAGAAACCCCAGCTTGGTAGGGGGATCTCAGTAGCATCAGTGTGGTGGTGAAGAACCCCAGAGGTTCACTGCACCTCCTTCAGCTGAACAGTGACCAGGCTAAGGGCCTGACTTAGGGTCAGCCGTCAGGGATGTGAACAGATGGACCTGGTCAAGCTTTTCTTCCCAAACAAGACCCTTATTCCCCACCTTCTTTCCAAACAACACTGTCCTCCCTCGCTGGGAGCAAATGAGCACGTCAGTCTTGGCCTCTTGCTGCTTGTCATGTCAGAGCCGACGTTGCACTGGGACAGCTATATGTGCTGATCCAGATCCATGTAGAGGGGCTGCATATTCCAGATTTGGAATTCACCAAAGGTCAACAGCAGGTACTTTCTAAGAGGTCAAGGAGGGAACAGATCCTGATTTTATCCTAATGTTCCAGCCCCCTGGGAGATCACAGCTTTGCTTTCCATTTGAAACCCTTTAAGGTGGCCTATGAAAGTCGCTTAGCTGAGGTCCTGGCCCATAGTAGGTACTCAGTTACTATTCACTTCTTCCTCTGACCCCTGACATCCTGATCTGGTCTTTCTGGTGAGATCCCTGCATTCTCATTCATTCACTGTAAACATATTTATTGTACCTACTATGTGTTGAGACCTGTGTCTAGGCTGGGAATCAGAAGAATAAGCCACAGACTGGGCTTTCGAGGTGCTTATTGACTGGGTGGGGGAGCTGGGAGTGAGGTATAGTAGTTGAGAGCAAAGGTTCTGGAGGAGATTGCCTGGATTCAAATCCCTGCTCCACCAGTTCCTAGCTGTGTGACCATGAGCATGCTACTTAACCTTTCTGTGTCTCAGTTTCCTCATCTGTGAAGTGAGACTAGCAGTAGTACTTACCTCACGGGGCTCTTAAGAGGATCAAATGAGTTAATGTACACAAAGTAATTGGAACATTGCCTGTCACATGTATGTACATGTGAAGTCTGACAAGACGAGGATTAGATAGAGCCAAGCTGTCCATGAACACTTGCTGTGGCTTAGTTGGCACAGGCCTTGCACCAGTGTGTGTGGGAATCATGGTGAACAAGAGTGCTTGGGGCCTACCCTCATGGCAGTGGACAGGGCAGGTGGTTATTGAGCACATCAGCGTGCAGAAGGCAACAAAGAAGTGGTACAGAGCCCTCTCCTAGGAGCTGAGGCTTGGGGGCGGCAAGTGGTCTTGGAACTTTGGAAGGTGTTTGTGGAGCAAGGTGTTTGGTTGGGTGTGAAGAAAGAGTGGCATGTCCATTGCAGCACTGTCGTATGGGGAAAGATTGGAAACAGCCTCACTGACCAGCAGGGGGGGACTAGATAGGTAAACTGCAGTTTATTCATGCAAATGGAAACCTTCAAGAGACACTAACACGATCACATGACCCACACCATCAACGTGGCCAAATCTCTAAAACAGAGTTGACTTTTTTTTAATACATTTATTTATTTTTTTATTTTTGGCTGCATTGGATCTTCGTCGCTGCGCGCAGGCTTTCTCTAGTTGTGGCAAGTGGGGGCTACTCTTCGTCGTGGTGCGCAGGCTTCTCACTGCAGTGGCTTCTCTTTGTTGCGGAGCACAGGATTTAGGCATGCAATCTTCAGTAGTTGTGGCACACAGGCTCAGTAGTTGTGGCTCGCGGGCTCTAGAATGCAGGCTCAGTAGTTGTGGCGCACAGGCTTAGTTGCTCTGCGGCATGTGGAATCTTCCCAGACCAGGGATCGAACCTGTGTTGGCGGATTCTTAACCACTGCACTACCAGGGAAGTCCCTGAGTTGAACTTTTTAAAAGTTGAAATAGGTTACATGCAATATGATGATGATGATGGTGGTGATGGTGAGAGAATTTTCTGAGAGCTTTCTACGTGCCAAGCACTGTTCTGAATGCTATGCTTATATTAATCCATTTGATCTCAACAGCCCTATGAAGTGGGAACTATTATCAGCTCTATTATACAGATAAGGAAACTGAGGCACAGAATGGTTAAGTCACCTGCCCGAGTTAGTAAGTGGCATAGTCAGCATTAGAGCAGGGTCATCTGGCTCAACCATCCATGCTTTTACCATTGCACTGTGTAAAGAGCACACAGAATAATACCTTTTAATATAAATAATAAAGTGTAAGCATGCATAAAACCACAGTATCTTCTGGAACGAGATCATAGGATAGAGCTTTTATTCAGGTGTATATTTTTTTAAATCTGAAGCAAAGTAAAGTGTTAATATTTGCTAATTTGGGTCACAGCTCTGTGGACTGTTAAATTATTTTCTGTATTATCCTGTATGCTCTGAAATTTTTAATAAATTTTGATTGAAATTTTTATTGAGATAACTGCAGGTTCACAAGCACTTGTAAGAATTAATACAGAGAGATCCCATGTACCCTTTACCCAGTTTCCCCCAATGTTAACATTTTGCGAAGCTATAGCACAGTATCACAACCAGGATATTGACATTGGTACAGTCCATCCATCTTATTCAGATTTCCCCAGTGTTACTTGTACTCACTTCTGTGTGTGTGTATACTTAGTTCTATTCAATTTTATCACGTGTGTATGTTCGTGTATCCATCACCACAGTTAAGATATCAAACAGTTCTAACATCACAAAGGTCCTTGTGTGGCCAGTTTATAACCACACCCACCTCCCTACACACACACACACACACACACACACACACACACACACACACACACACACACAC